CATTNTTCGCTCAGGATTGTTTAATCTGACGATTAAACTTGGGTTAAAGAATACTTGTGACTCAAGAAAAATCAGAGTCAGCTTATTCACGTGTGTTATAAAGGAACTCAAACCTGTTAATATCGTATCTGTTATTTCTGGCAACCCTAAAACTATTTTTACTTTTTTTTGTTTTTTTTTTTTTTGTTAAAACCGCCTTGTGTAGGGCCCGCTACTCTTTGAATATCAATTCTTGGGCAAGGATAAAAAATTTTTCTCCCTTTCCATTTCACTTTCGATTTCGTGAGAGAAACATAGCGAAGGGTTCACTGAATTTCACCTAATTATCTGGCAGCGAATTCACGGAGAGCTCAAATTTAGAAATTTTCCTGGTTTGACCTTAATTTATTGGAAGAAACTCGAGGAGTTTAGTGGCGTAATGCAGACACAGCCGGTAAATATTGTGTGTTGATTTAAAGGTAACGTATCAGCCTGACATCAGGTAAACTTTTATTCCATCACAATTCGTTCTTTCCACCTATGTAAAAAAAAATATATTAAAAAAGGGGGGATGAGCGTATAGAATTGCAGAGAGTGAAATTTGCTGTTAGCCGGAAAATTGTAAGCATTTAAAACGAAGAAATACACTAACACTGGGTCAACACTGGTTGGTTTATATTTTTTTTAAAAAATAATAAAAAAAAAAATCTATAAATTAGTGTTTCTCAACCTTTAGGGGTCGAATGACCCTTACACAGCGGTCGTCTAATACCATCGGAAAACACATATTTATGAAGCAGCAATGAAGATAATTTGTATGGTTTGGGCTCATCCACGACATGAGGAACTGTATTAAAGGGTCGCGGCATTTGGAAGTTTGAGAGCCACTGCTATAAAAAAAACAAAAAAAAACAAAACAATTATAAAGAAGCTAAAGAAATCCGCCGACAGAGTGCATTGCTCTTAGCCGTCAATTTCATTTGAATCCAATTGTCCATCAACGATGAAGCATCCACCTTCGGTCAACTGAGACATGGGTCCATGCCCTACGGATACACAGACACTTGCTAATAAACCAGTGGTTTGGCTATTGCCTTTAGCATTCTGCAAAATATTGGGTGAGCTCCAAAAGGACATCACAAGAACCTTTGAAGTACTGAAAAGTAGAGATAATGAAGAAAGACCTTTGTGACCAATCTTATTCTTCAAATCCGAATTAGTTGTTCTTTATGGTTGACAACATGTTTGAAAGGAAGGTGACTAATTTAAACTTACGACTGTAATCATAAAAAAAACACAATTACATCCCTTGCTTATCAAAAGTAAAAGCATATTTTTTAATGAACATTTTGATGTAAGTAATAATAACATTTCACGAAGATTATCGATTAAGATTGTCAGAAACTACGTGAGCACTTCCGTGTAAAAACAATGAATGCGTGATTAACAGTTTCCACGTTAATATATCCTTAGGATTTCTCCCCCAAAATGGGTTGTTGCATAATATGTAAAGATATTAGTTCTTAAGTTCAGAACCCAAAGCCTTCCTGCCACGCTCCTGTCCTTATAGTTTTTGTTGTGTTTCAACCTGAGGCGAACATCTGCTGTCACAACACATTTGTTGTTTATACAAAATGTAACACTCAAGCACGGAAGGGGGGGGGGGTGGTGTTGAGGAGTGCTGACAGGATATTCAATTAACAGTTTGTTTCGATTTGAAATTCCATGACGTCATGTCATTCTTTGTTTGAGCAGAAACAAAACAAAAACTGGTTAATAGACAAGAGGTGACTGACCTATGACAGAGATTGAGGTTGTTTGGTTGGTTGGTTGGTTGGTTGGTTGGTTGGTTGGTTGGTTGGTTGGTTGGTTGGTTGGTTGGTTGGTTGGTTGGTTGGTTGGTTGGTTGGTTGGTTGGTTGGTTGGTTGGTTGGTTGGTTGACGGCCCGCGAAGTAACGAAATATTCTTTATGGTTGGTTGGTTGGTTGGTTGGTTGGTTGGTTGGTTGGTTGGTTGGTTGGTTGGTTGGTTGGTTGGTTGGTTGGTTGGTTGGTTGGTTGGTTGGTTGGTTGGTTGGTTGGTTGGTTGGTTGGTTGGTAGGTAGGTAGGTAGGTAGGTAGGTAGGTAGGTAGGTTTTTTGTTTGGTTTTGGAGGGATGCGGGGGACGGGTGGGGTGGGGGAGAGAGGGTGGGATGTTACTGAATGTAGATAATTATTTTGGGGAAACTTACAAGCGAATTCAGAGATAAGTTACGGGGTAAATCATTATCATTTATAAAATTATTTTTAAAAATATATATGTATATATATATATAAATATAAATCTCTTAAGAAGCCATTAAAAAAATAATTTAACTAGTTTTCAAATGGTTTCATGGAATTTTTTGTCTAAGCTTTTTTCTGGGTCTAAGTCTCAGAATTGTTTTTACAGTCTCGTTCAAGGATCAACAATCTAAATTAATTTTTTTTTTTAAAGCAGGAAAGCAAGCTTTTCGTTTAAATCTAGTATTTGTAACTTGTAGCTCTGCTAACAATACAAGTCTCTGTTGTTGTTACCTCACACCTTGTAACTTGGAGTTCTGCTAACAACACAAGCCTCTGTTGTTATGTCCTGGCATCTTGTAACTTGGAGTTCTGCTAACAACTCAAGTCTCTGTTGTTATGTCCTGACATCTTGTAACTTGGAGTTCTGCTAACAACACAAGTCTCTGTTGTTATGACCTGACACCTTGTAACTGGTAGCTCTGCTAAAAACATAAGTCCCTGTTGTTGTGACCTGATACCCTTTCTGATTATTTATTGACTGGTTGCTATTTTTAGTGCCTACTAATGAAAATGACAGGGGAGGTTGGGGGTGGGGGGGGGGGATAACGAAATGGTTTAAACTGCATGTACCTAACCTACTCAACACAAATTATGTCCTAGTTTATGTCACTGTAATGCTGTCAAAGGCGTCGCCTGTCATATAATATATAATTTCATGGGTGCTTCTTTATACGCTCGTGTAAGTTTCTTAAAATTTATATTCCGAACAATGCTAGTGTTTAAAATTTATCTGAGCACTTTGATGCACACAAATCGTTAGATGTTTGTTTGAACACAATCTTAAGCCGTCTGTATGAACACGATCTATAGATGTTTGTAGTTTGTATGCATATGAATGGGTAGATAGACAGATGGACAGATGGATAGATGGACAGATGGACAGATGGACAGATGGACAGATAGACAGATGGACAGATGGATAGATGGACAGATGGATAGATGGACAGATGGATAGATAGACAGATGGACAGATGGACAGATAGACAGATGGACAGATGGATAGATGGATAGATGGACAGATGGATAGATGGACAGATGGATAGATAGACAGATGGACAGATGGATAGATGGACAGATGGATAGATAGATATATGGATAGATAGATATATGGATAGATAGACAGATGGATTAGATGGAAAGATGGTGGCTGGATTTACGGCATTCGTTTGGGGATGGGGAGGGGGTGGGGCTTGATATACGCTATAGATGTAGCGTAACGGTTAGCATTTAAAAAAAAAAAAATCAATCTTTTATACATTTCCTTAGGAAAGCGTTTTACAAAGTCGGCTGGGTTTAACCCTCAACGCTATTCCTAGGAGATAAAGGGTTCACCACTAATAGGGATTTTTTTTCAAAAATGAATGAAGCCGAAGTAAGAAATTATATAGAATCTACAATTTGTTTAAATTGTACAATACTTTATTGTGATAGCACTAGTGTTTTACTTAACACGTTATTCCCAGACTTTCAGCCTATAAATTGGTTTACAACCACTATCATTTACTATTCGAAGCCCGACCGTGCATGACCACTACGATTTACGAATGTGTTCCTACGCCTTAAGGTACTGAGAAGCAGTGTACGTCACCGGCTTTAACCAAAAACTCTCCTTGGCGCACCGTTCCATCAACATTCGACCAGCGTGTGCCAATCAAACGTTCAGCAAAACCATCCTCAATAACCACCCTTCGACTAAGGCAGCGGTTCTCGGGTCTTATCGGCGCCCCACAACCAGGATTATTCACAGAAATCGAGAAACAGGTGCTGAGATGTTAAAGATGGAGTTGGGGGGGGGGAGAGGTGTATTTACTGCCACTGATTATCACTATTTTATTTACACATTTGAAAAAAATATTTAATTTATCATTTTTTTGTTTACAAATAACTGATAATAATATAACAAAAAACGCAATTTGTATTTTGATTGTTGTGTGTGGATTTGTTTTTGTTGTTTTATTTTGTTTTTAATTTTTAAATTTGCAAAGAAATTGTTACTTTTAACGTTTGAATTAAACAATGAACCAACGAAAGTTGCACACAAAATACACATTAAACATTATTTTCTGATTTTCTCAAGAGTCTCCTGGCGAATTGACGGGATCTTAGGTCTGGTAAGTGTCTCGTTGAGCGCCTTGCTACTTTTTATTGTCCATCCCCACAATTTGGCCCCAAAAAAATCCGATAACCTGTACAGTCTAGTAGCCCTTATGTGTAATGCAGTTTGGTATCCATTATATGTAATGCGGTCCAGTAGAGAAGCCCTCATGTGTAATGCAGCCTAGTAGAGTAGCCCTCGTGTGTCATGCAGCATAGTAGAGTAGCCCTCGTGTGTCATGCAGCCTAGTAGAGTAGCCCTCATGTGTCATGCAGCCTAGTAGAGTAGCCCTCATGTGTCATGCAGCCTAGTTGAGTAGCCCTCATGTGTCATGCAGCCTAGTAGAGTAGCCCTCATGTGTCATGCAGCCTATTAGAGTAGCCCTCATGTGTCATGCAGCCTAGTAGAGTAGGCCATATATGTAATACAGCCTAGTAGAGCAGCCATTGTGTGTAACCCGACACATGATTAATCCCTCATATCGTTAGGCGGTCAGCCGGCTATCACTTCCTCACACCTGCCTCACACCTGCCTCACAACTGTCACACGTACATTCTGATCATCCTATCCTCTGTCAGCCTCACTTGCTCCAGATTCACTCACACACCCTCGTCTCACTCACACACGCATGCTCACGCACGGCGTTGTAAATTTTGGACCAAGATTGTCGACTTCCTTTCTATCCCGTGATATACTCACTGATCCCGCTAGCCTACCCAATGACGACAGAGTTACCTACACATTCGAGCATGTGCACACTGACATTCTTGTTGATCCTCTCCTTATGTGTAGCTTTGCACTCTTCAGGTGAGTACAATAATGCTGCGTATTCAATTCTTTTTTTTTTTTAACTGATGTACGCGAATATTTTAGAAATCAGGACATGTTTCGAAAAACATAAGACTAACCGATATATGGAGTAAATGGAGAAATTAGATGGGGGTTGGGGAAAACAAGGTTTTAATAATCGAATCTTGTGTACATTTTTGTTTTCATTCAAAAAGGGGAATTTATTTCATCTCACCCATGCATTACTGTTGGTAAATGTTGGCTATTGTTTTGTTTCGAATTCGAATTTTCCACTTCAAAGTATGTTATGTATAATGTAACTGATTAAGCCTACAATTAGAAATTGTTGGGCGCAGCTCCACGCTAATCTGATCTACTTAACACAATCAGTGAACTATCGAGCCGAAGCTCATGAAGTCTTCCCTAGCGCACCCCGGCCAACCCAACCGGCCTTCAACCACTCCCCCCAGTGGCCTTTATTCCAGTCAGGCCCCGAACCGGCAGGCCCCGAACCGGCGGGCCAGGGGGGGGGGGATTCCGCCTCCCAGACAGCCACATCTGTCCTTCCACCAGATTGGCCATGCGTGGGCGCAGCTCCCCGCTAATCTGATCTACTTAACACAATCAGTGAACTATCGAGCCGAAGCTCATGAAGTCTTCCCTAGCGCACCCCGGCCAACCCAACCGGCCTTCAACCACCCCCCCCAGTGGCCTTTATTCCAGTCAGGCCCCGAACCGGCAGGCCCCGAACCGGCAGGCCAGGGGGGGGGGGGATTCCGCCTCCCAGACAGCCACATCTGTCCTTCCACCAGATTGGCCATGCGAGTGAGGCGGCATCAGAGAAGGAACACCTGGTCTGCCGGGGTGCTGCTCTCGAATCTCGAAGCAACCGGGCCGGACATTCTTGGGCTGGGGGTGGATATATTTTATGTCTCTATGCCCCACCCTTCCCACCCCGAGGAGACGACCGTTGTTAGAAAGGCGCCCTCTAAATACGTCGGTTTACGTGGTTGCGACGATGCGACTATTTCACATAGTAGCTGGGACGAAACGGTTACCTAGGAGCAGTTCCTCAAGACTGCATAGATCGAATCATCAGCGAGGGTCGCCACGTTCCCTCTCTTCACATCCATACGGCAGCATGTAATCATATCCCGACTTGTTTATGCGTTATTTCCTGCTGTACTTGGTAGGAACCATGCAGCCGTGCTATTTCTAAGGCAGTTTCTGATCGATACCTTTGCCTTCGAGCGTAGGTCCCCTACACGTTGATTTTGTACCCCGGGTAGCGTTTATGGGGGGTCTTGTGGTAAATGCCTCTTGATCGACATATCATTTATGGGACGGTCATGCTGACTAGAGACAGCTCCCAACTGAAAGATCCAAAAAAAAAAAAGAAAAGAATATTTTGACAAAATTGGTCTTTAATAAGAAACTAGCTATCTTAATGGCTTTGATATTTTGGCATTTTTTGGGTTGTGGTGTTTGTACATACTGTTACAAGGTTGGGCTCTTTTCTTTAAGTTCCCCTTTAACCTGGCCGAGGTCAGATTACCACAGCCAGGAAGCACGACCCAAAACTATTAAGCGAACATCGACCCACTTTGAGGTCAGACAACTCGCACTGATTTATGTATTTATTTATTTAGGAATTTTTATATAGTGCTTACCTTAAAGCTCTAAGCGCTTTACAATTATTAAAAACATGTAAACTAACTAAAATAAAAATGAGACATTAGGATAGTAACTACTATTGATATCTTTGTTAATTTTACCGATATTTTGCTCCTGTGAAACCGTGGTTTTGGCCTATATTACAGGATTAACCCGAGACAGAAAATGAGGCAGGGCAAGGAGGGTGCATCACAGGTCATAGGCGGACCTAAACAGATGGGTTTTAAGGGACTTTTAAAAGTGGACGAGGTTTCACAATGACGGATATGGAAGGGGAGCTGGTTCCAGAACGTGGGCCCATGGAAGTAGAAGGAGCGTTCACCGATGGTCTTAGTTTTGGTTCTTGGGATTGAGAGGGTTCTATTGTCAATGGAAGAGCGCAGTTGTCTTGTGGGTATGTAAGGAAGCAACAGTTCAGAGAGATAGACAGGAAAGTGAGGGTCAGTGAACGAGTTGAAGCAGTAAATAAGACTGGCAGATCAACCCCAGAGAGACCAAAATCATGAGCACATCGATAAACGTGATTAGCCTTCCGTTGCATTTGCCAATAACGATATAGGACCATTCAATAGTTAGCGGAAATGTTAATGCCATCAACTTAAAATTGTGATGTTATTGTTTATATTATTAATTTTGTGAGGTTAGATATTGTTAGTGTTAGGCCTGCATTCATTTCATTATATGTAGATTTCATGTATCTTTGTTTATATCACAATCAATGTAATAAAGTACATTTATATAGAAAACAGATTGTCTTTATTTTAGCCAATGGTGTGTCTAAAATGTACACGTGTTAGCCCTCTTTTCAAATCCCCTAGACCACGAGCTTATTCACATTCATTGAAAACAATAAGGGAGTAACACTACAAACCTAAATACGCTATCTGAACATATTTACTAAATGTTTTATAGACAGTTGTCCTTTTGGTATGGGGGTCACCACCATTTTTTTTTTACATGTCATATTCATATTGTGAATCCATCACTGGATGCTAACAAACTTTGCATTTCATATTGTGAATCCATCACTGGATGCTAACAAACTTTGCATTTCATATTGTGAATCCATCACTGGATGCTAACAAACTCACATTTCATATAGTGAATCCATCACTGGATGCTAACAAACTCGCATTTCATATTATAAATCCATCACTGGATGCTAACAAAACTCTCATCTCATATTGTAAATCAATCACTGGATGCTAACAAAACTCTCATCTTATGTTGTAAATCCATCACTGGATGCTAACAAAACTCTCATTTCATATTGTAAATCAATCACTGGATGCTAACAAAACTCTCATTTCATATTGTAAATCAATCACTGGATGCTATCAAAACTCTCATCCGATATTGTGAATCCATCAATGCATGCTATCAAAACTCTCATTTCATATTGTAAATCAATCACTGGATGCTATCAAAACTCTCATCCGATATTGTGAATCCATCAATGCATGCTATCAAAACTCTCATTTCATATTGTAAATCCATCACTGGATGCTAACAAAACTCTCATCCGATATTGTGAATCCATCAATGCATGCTATCAAAACTCTCATTTCATATTGTAAATCAATCACTGGATGCTAACAAAACTCTCATCTCATATTGTGAATCCATCACTGGATGCTATCAAAACTCTCATTTCATATTGTAAATCCATCACTGGATGCTATCAAAACTCTCATTTCATATTGTAAATCCATCACTGGATGCTATCAAAACTCTCATCTTATGTTGTAAATCCATCACTGAATGCTAACATTTACTCTCCTCCTATCAGATTTGAATGATCCAGTTTGCACGCCGTTCAACTGCTCGCGCCTAAAGTGTGTGTTAGGCATCAGCGTCAAGGCGGATTTGAGCGGATGTGACGTATGCACGTGCAACCCACCCTCGTGCCCGGCTGTGACGTGTACCAATCAATGCCCGGTGGGATTTACAACGGATGAATCTGACTGTCCTACGTGCACATGCGTATCCACGATGGGGGAGCTTTACTGAGACCTCGTGCCGTGATCTAACGGAAGGAATTGTTCAGGACGATGTTAAGATGTTGCTGCTCACTTGCGCAAACACGATGCGCGTAGGCGGCAAAACGGCTTTATTTTCAAGGGTGGCTTTTGTCAAAATGTTATCTCAAGGCCTTTTTTTTAAAAGAATACATTTTGTGGGAGAGCACATTCTTTAAAACGATTCCCTTTTCTTCCTCCCAAAGCTTTCGTGCCACACCAGACTTATATGATAATAATACACATTCAACAACTCTATGATTACGTCTGACAAAGATGAACAAAACTGTTATGCATTAATAAAAGATAAAACATACAACTAATGGAGTTACAATTTTTTAACTTTCAAAATTTAAATATTCTACACATATAGATGTAGCGAATATCAGCGTCTGTGAGCACAGTCATTTGGGACGATGTTCAATGTTCTTAATACTAATATCGATTTATAAATTTGATTGGGTTTTCAATATATTTTTTTTAATTTAATTAATTTAAAAAAAATATTTTTTTGTTAACTTCAGTGTTGAAATGTATTGAAAACTTAAATATATGTTTAATGAAACGGCTTAGTTTGAAATTTTTGGTGAAAATTCCAATGACAAAATTATTTTTCTTCGCACTGGAGAGCGTAACATGTCAAGGGACATTACTTAAAGTAAATTTTATTTGTTAAAAAGATATTGAAGAGCTACCTCCCATTGATCCATGGCATATCGCCTCTTACGCATACGACTGCGATCAAATTGTTTGCATTCTACATTAAACCGTTTAGAGCGGCGGTTCTCAAACTATGGGTCGTGACCTTTTTGGGGGTCAAACGAACCTTACTCAGGGGTCACCTAAGGCAACAGGAAAACACATATTTATGAAAAAAGCAACGAAAATGACTTTATGGTTAGAGGTCACCACAACATATTAAAGGGTCGCCGCGTCAGGAAGGTTGAGAGCCACTGGTTTAGAGGTACAACAACGGGATTATCATTGTACTAGAGAAAATTTTCTACTCAACAAAAAGGAACGAAATAATGGGTGAATAAATAGAGAAAATAATGTAAAAATTAAAACCAAAACATTAAGACAACAGCCCCTTTTGATAATTTATGTCATTTATTGAGACGATGTATTAAATGTAAATGGAATTCAAAATAGTTTCTTATTGTGTAACTCTCAATTCGAACATTATAATGACAGATGACGAAAAATAATACAATGCAGATGATTGCGTGAATAAAATAAGTAAGGTTATTTTTGCTCATGCAAAGTATTTCTTTTTTTTTCCTCTCCTTTTTTTCGTATTATGTAGAAATGTTTGATATGCGCATTATAATGTCTTTTTAAAAAATGATAAAACACAAAAAACAGCCCAAAAATTTTTTTCTATTGAAGTTTTTAAAATAACGTCTTATACATTGCGGAGTAGCGAGTTTTTATACCAAGATATGATTAAATACATATTTTATTCATACATGACACATCGACATGAAAACTATATCAAATGATGTGTAATAAATTTAAATCAAAGTAAGGTAGGTTGGGAATCATTGCACACTAATGTTTTCTTACAGTGGGACAGGTCCATTTGGACATGAGCATCTTCTGCAGCCGTAGGCGTCTGTCCGCCAGATGGTCCCAAAACGACATTCACAAGCGACCCTAAGGCATGCACATTGACACGTCGGGCAGCCGTTGGCATCCAAGGCGTACCCGCCGGGGCAGATGGTGTCACAGACCCGCGGCCGGCAAGACGGGGACCCACAAGCGCAGGTGGGGCAGCCGTCAGAGTCGTTGGCGTAACCGTAGGGACACAGTTGTTTTGTGGGACACTTGATGGCGGGGCATTCCTTGACCTTGCACCGACACATCTGGCAGCCGTTTGAGTCGGTGGCCAGACCATGTGCACATTTTATAGCGCAGTAATCGGGTTTGCAGACTTGTGGTTTGCATCTGCAGGTATCGCAGCCAGACCCATCCGTCTCCACCCCGTTAGGACACACCAGATCTAAACAGTGTATCATGGGACACGGCTGCACTGGGAGCTTAACTGAGGAAAAACAAATTTTAAGAAAAAAGGAGTATGTATCTGTTTAGAAATGTTTTAAATATTTTTTTAAAACTAAATCTGCCATTTTACACAAGTTAAAAAATTATAACAAACTAAATGGGTCGTATAGCAAAATTAGGGGACAAAAACAACCAACAAAAAGTTGGTTACTTAAGTATTAAGTAATCTTATAAATTAAGTTGAGTAGTTAGGATATTTTTTCTACACAAAGCTGCAAAATCCTGTCCCAGTGCGTTTCTGTACAAAGAAAAACCAGGTAAAGATTTAGTGTAGAATATAAATAATGAAATCCATTTTTAGGCTAAGCTTTATACCGAAGTTCAGCTGTACAGCCTCGAACATGAGATAAACGCAGCTTAACTTTATACTTAAGCCTAAACTCATAATTAAAACTATTTTTCTACTTAAATATAAGAAAAGCAAAATTACCCCTGCAGAATTTTTTTTGTTCATGGGAAAACTCCGACCAAAAAAAAAATGAACACAAAAACTGAAAGAGCAAAACAGGATTGCCAGTTTAATAAAAAAACAAAAAAAAAAAAAAAAAAAAAAAAAAAAGACAAAATTAAAAAAAAAATGGAAAAAATAAAAATAAAATTAACCCTGAAGAATTTTTTTTTTTGAAGGGGGAACCCCAAACAAAAAAAAAAATAAAACAAAAAACGAAAAAGGAAAAAAGGATTGCCAGTTTAAAAAAAAAAAAAAAAAAAAAAAAAAAAAAAAAAACTGTTCATATTTTAAAATTAATTGGTTAAATTAGAAACTTCTTCATACAAATAAAGCATGTCAGACCCATGTCCTTAACTTAATTGTCTGCGCAATTCTACTCACCTGCCCACGTAACGTTAGTAACCAGAAAGCTGGACACCATCAACACAAGGACCGACCTGGACATCTTCGGTTGCAAACAGCCCGGGAGGGGGAAAAGGTGTCAGTTCCCGTGGGTAGCAGCATTTTATAACCAGCAGCTTTTCACTGTGGGGGGAAGGATTGCATCCTGGCGTAATTATCATAAGAGTAACTTCAGCAAAATAACATCGGAGATAAGACCATAACCTAAAAACTCTTTTTCCGATTTCCTAGAGAGTGTGTCAAGTCGCAATAGCGTGCCGTGGTTACATCCTGTGTGGAAGTCCAAACGAACACGTCCTGTTTGGAAGTCCAAGCGAACACATCCTGTTTAATAACGTATAGCGATTGGATTAAAACCAGAGGACAAAGATTTAGTTCATGGCCGTGGGTCTTTCCTGCTCCTCTATCCTTTAAAATTCGGTTAAAAGGGTTTTAATTGGGTCACCGCGTCGTCGTCCCCCCTCGCACACCCCACTCCCTTATTCCTACGCCTCTGGCCTGCACCAGCCGACCTTATTTCGCCACAATCGCTTATTCAGACAATCACTAGAGAAAGTCTTCCTTCTATTTATAAATCTAGTTCCTAAACTATGCATCAACGTGTTGCTAGGTCAAGGTTTGCCGAATAATTTGGGAAATCGCATTAGGTCGTCTCTTGTTTTCGAAGTAAAAAAGGGTGGGGCTGGGGGGGGGGGGTTATGAAGGGAGATACCATCGACAGTCAGGTAAGGAAGAAATGGGGTCATCACAGGTAAAATCAACCAAGGGGTTTTAGAGGAGCGCAGTGGCGTAGCTAGGGTTAGTGTCACCCGGTGCGGTAAACTCATGGTGTC